TGGTTCCAATGGGGGGGGGGGGGTAGGTGTGGTCTATTGTGTCGCATCGACGTCTACAGTACAGTTTTTATGGACACTGTTCCGGTGGGCAAGATCTTATCGGAACCAAGTATGATTGACGCCAGCTTTAATCAATAACAATACTGATCAATCCGGGCTTTGAAAGGCATACTTCCCGATTGTTTCATTTTGCAAGTCGGTAACTTTTGAATAGGTTTGGAGGTACAATGGAAAACGCCAACAAAAGACATCACCAACTGTTCCCTTTCAACGTTGAGTCCCTTTTTTCGAATGTAGAAATTCAGCAAACACGAAATATCAATATTACCGAAGGTGTAAATTTTAATGAAAAGACTACCGCGCCCATTTTTTTCCAAAATCGTTTGCGTTATTATTATGCACAGCATTATAACATTACGTTGATATTATGCACAGACATCGATATCACATTATTTACATTACTATTGTACACAGACATTACTGTCGCATTATTTACATTAATGATATACACAGTGACTACTATCACATTATTTACAATCTAGGAATGCTAAATTTATTTTCATTCTTTTTATTTGCAGTTCTCGAGACAGTTTTGTGGGCAACAATTCTCAGATAATAATTTTATTCCTTAAATCTGTATTGTAATTGTAAAACTATGTTTCTCTTATTATTGCATATTTGACAAATATACGGGTGGTTCATATAATAAATACAAAAATATAAATATATATGAAAATAAATATAAAATGTAAGAAATATTATTATATCGTCACATTATTAATATTATTATAATCAGGAAAAATTTAAACACCATGTGTGCTTAATTTTATATAAATTCATAGATCTGTTGATGATCATTAGACATCACTAAGTCACCACTATCGGTTAGTATGGTTATCGATACATTTTGATTTTGGAAGATAATTATTATAATATTATAATTAAGATAATTATTATATTATATTATATTATATTATATTATATTATATTATATTATATTATATTATAATTAAGATAATTATTATAATATATTATTATTTTCTCCTAATTTCGCGAGTGTTCGAATTTCATTGTTCGAGATGCTCGTCCTAATTGTGGATTGAATTGTTTTTAAAGATCTCGAATGACTTCGTTATCTAATATCAATTTTTTCACGAACGATATTCACTACAGAAAGCGAAATTTGCTTTCCAGACGAAATTTAAAGAAACCTTTGACAAGCACTGAAGTACCTGATCTGTAAAAAAATGTTGAAAAACGTGGCAACATTCGAAATGTAATATTACGTAAAACTGTATTTAAGAAATGCAAATAATTTCAAGAGTAGAGAATTACTTTAAAAATTACCTTCATTTTACACTGGATATGTATAATATACGTTCTCCACTCATTTGCGAGAGTTTTAAAATTTTGCGTTTTTCTTACGCAGAGCTTCATGCGCTTATAATTTTGAATTATACAAGTGCTTAAAACGTGATAACGTATACAGTTTCATGGAACTTCATTTTTCACGTAAATTATTCTTATCACGAGGAATAATTGCGTCAATTTACGCTTTTACAAATTAAT